CCCTCCGTTTCGTCAAGCTGTTTGTATTTCTTTTTGCCTTCTTTCTTCCCTCTTTTTCTCTCTCTCTTTACTTAGGTGTATTTTGAGAGAAAACGTTGCGACAACGGCTTAATTCGATCGCCACTCGTCGCGTCAATCAAAAAATAAACCTCGAGTGAAATCGAAAGGATTCGGCCGACGATACGCTCGAGGGACTCATTGAGAGACTCCGTAAGTGGATGAACCGGATTTGAATGAATTTTTTCGTTACGAAAAACGAGAAACTGAAAACGTAGTCGGGCGTCTGAGAATTAAACCAGAGGAATGATTTAATACTCGGGAGTTTGACTATTTTAGGAGAGTTGAAAGTCGATTTTTCGATCGTACGGTGATTCTACGCGGTGCTTTAAACGACCCTCTTTAGAAATGCAGGCGTCTCGCTGATGAAAATTAGCAGATTCGTTCCGGACCGGCCGCGTCTCTTTTTTCTTTCTTTTCTTTTTATTTTTTATTTTTTTTTTTTTTTTCCTTTCATCGTAGACTACCAGACGGAAACATTTTTCTTCCTTTCGGATCATCGACAGACACGAATGCTGGAGACACGCCGTTGTCGATGGCAGATCCTTTTTCTTCCGAGTGCTCGGCGCTTGCGATTTTCAAGAGGGAATCGGTTTCATCGGATGCAGATTTAATGCCGTGCACGACGGAAAACTGATAGGTACCCATTGAATATCGGGCTTATATCGGTGGACGCCGATACTTTATACGGCGTTATTGAAATATCGTCGCGAAGAGAATTATTGCCACTCGCATGCCGTATCTATCCCTCGTGCCATCCGTCCCCTCGTCTCCATCCCCCTGTCCGCCTCGCTTCGTCTCTTCGCGTTCCAATCCTTCGTTCTTTCTCTCTCGCTAATACCGAGCATTCTGCGAATTCTTGGCTAGCATGAATACGTATAATGCCCGCAAAAAGGGGAGGGCAGTAAATTGTACGTGTCGTTACATTCGAGTTTTCGCTTGAGAGAGGAGGATTTGTTGCTGGTGCCTAGTGTGTTCCTTCTCCTCCCTCTTCCTCCTTGTCTCTCTCTCTCTCTCTCTCTCTCTTCTCTGTTTCCTTCTTTCTTCTTTTTATTTATATTTTAATGAGGCACGCGCACGCCCGAGAGATTCCAGAAATTATACGCGTAAATCGTAGGAGAGGCCCGTTTGAAACACGGAAACGGATAATTTCGAGTACTAAACTTCACGCGATAACGCGCTTTTTATTTCCCGGCGCGTACACACGTTCGTTTGTTCGACCCGTTTGATGTTATTTTTGTCTCCCTCTTGCTCGTTTATACGATTAAAATCGGAATTGGATCGTGCTGGAACAGCACGCGGTAATATGAAAACAAATCTCCTTTTTCCTTTTGCATCTTTTTTTCTTTCTTTCTTTTTTTTTTTTTTTGTTATTTTCTGATTCACTCGAAGCACAACTAATTGCTCGTTGCCATTGGATGGATGTCAATGGAGGTGGGGGATTCATTATTTTCAGAAAACTTTGGTTCCAGCGCGTCGTTTGCGTATGGTAGACTGGTTAAATCGGATATCCGATGAAAATCAGCAAACCAATTTGCTCGGTATGCCCGAACGATCTTTCGACTGATCAATCTGTTTCGGACACTCGAATTAGCCGTTTGCATGAATTAATTCACGCGCGCGTGAAGTGACGGCTGTGTGTTTCATTGATGTGTTCCGCCGCCTTCAAGCGTGGCGAGCTCCGTTTTAAATGTTCTTACGGCGAAGCGAGAATTAAACGCGAATTAATCCTTTCATGAAATGAAACTTTCCACTAGTTAACACACTGTTGACATTTAAGGCATATCTACCTAAATGTACTGTATTACAGCTCGAAGATTCAGTCATGTTTCTATCATATTTGAATCCTTCATAAACGTTTGTCAAAATATATGAAGAAGGAAAATCTTTCTGCTAGATCTAGCAACAAATTCAAAGCACTTGCGTGATTTGTATCTTGTCAGTTCAAAAACGTGGTTTTGAGTAACCTGAGCGTGAGATTCTGCGTGTTTTACACGCGACGAAGATTAATTAAATCGTCGAGGCTGATCCAGAACATTGTCACCGAGGTGTAATCCTACGACTGAATTCGCGATAAGAAGACACTGACGAAATCCGCTTGGACAAGATGGAACGAAGAAAATTAATGCGAACGGAACGGTTCGGAACGGACGACACATCGTTAGCGCGTCGCAGTTATTCATAAAATCGTTACTCACAGACCAAAACAGTGGGACTTTCAAAACCCGTCCACCCATAGGGGTAGCTCGCCCTATTATTGTTTTATATATTCTACTTCACATATTCTATCATCGTCTGCCGCCTCCGTGTCTAAATTTTAATTTGCATATTCGGTCACGGTGACGCTTGTTCCACTCTCTTTTATCGAGGTTCACGCTCTTCGCGCCATACTATACTGGAAAATGAATCTCGCGACACGCGTCGACTTAATGTTATTACGTCGCCGCGGTGTCGTTTAATCGCGAATGAAAAGTGCCTCCTAAATAAAAGATCGTCTCGTGAACTTTCTTTTTTCTCACAAAAATTCACGTCCAGAGAAAATAGACTGGTCGCCTGATTCTTTGAAAGGAATTTTTTCAATGTATGTTACAATATTTGTTTATACTTCACAAAGGACTTATTGCTATATTTGAATGAATTAATATTCAAATGATCGTTTATTGAATTCTTCCTCTTTATTTTGCGACATCTAAAAAAATTTCTTCGAGAAATTAACTTAGAAACACGGAATTTTCGATATCCTTTTTTGATCATCTAGACTGCGAACGAATCTGCAGTTGAATGTAAATAGAGTGCAATATCATTCCTCTGACAACATTGTTTTACGTGACACTCCGCGGTACGTTCTTCTAATTTCAATGTTTACCATTGTATTTCGACGAACGCTTCGTCGACTTCGGACCGTTAATTAGGAGCTCGAATCTCAAGTCTCTAAAGCGGAGTTTAGATATAAATTCGGAAGTGGTATTATCTCGTAACAAAGGCACGTGCTCGGCATTCGAGCTTCCCGAGACAGCTAGGAACAGTCGCAATGTCGCAACTTCGTTCGCTTGTTCGTCTGCATTCAATAAGTCTCGCTTACCACCGAATATTTCATTCGAGACAAAAATCACGAGGCGTACAGTTAATGATGGAATCGCTGTTTTCTAAGAGACAAGCTCAATAAATATTTCTCAAAAATCATAGAGAGAATATATTCTTAAGAAAGGAATGAAAAAGTTTTACAAGTTGTAACTAATATTTTCATTGATTAATTGAAATGAAACGATCTAGATTCTGATATCTACTGAAATTAAAATTACAGTGGATCAGCTGTACTTGGATACGAGAGACTTTTTTTTTGTCGAAGTTTCCCAAATAGTACAAAAATCACGAATGGTTGTTTCGAGAATAACGAAAAGGATATTGATCGCACACGTTAATTCATTTTGCGATACGTTCGTACCTTTCGCTTTCACCGAACCAGTAGCTAGTTAGAGGCCTGTACCAGTCTGATTGCAGACGAGCACGTTGCATTCTAATGGGCAATATCTTCTTATCCCGCCGCATACAGAAAGCAAAGCTTCGTAGCGGACGTTCATTTTTCCTCCCCTGTTTTATCTTCTTTCGCCTCTCGTACCCGAGCTAATTGTCTTATTGGGCAGGAAGGGGGATCGAAACTGTTGTATACCTCGTGAGAAACAACAGTCAAGAAGTTAAGTTTTCCACGAAGACAAGTGGAATAGAGGAACAGAGTGTAACAAAAATAAAGGAAACGAAATTTGAAAGTACAAAAATACGCAGAATGTGTGTAATGCAGGCAAAAATATATAAATTAAATCGAAGTCATCGTAACAATAAAATCTTTTACAAGCTCGACTAGTTAACCGCGCGGCGAAATGATAAAATTTTCATGAAACTCTTCGTTGTCGCGGAAACCGAACTTTGCGCGACATCAAAGACACGAAACGTTCATCTATCCGTTCAGTGACAAAAGCTCAAGGGACAGAATGTGAAGATAGTCCATGGTAATTTGAATACCGTTTTCAAATAAGAGGTCACCAGAAACCAGGACAAAATGGTTCCCTCCGCTCGGTATATATGACGTATGGTGGTTAATGGAAGCTCACAGGGTGGCGGCTGTGGAAAAACGAGGGAACGGGGAAAGAGAGCAACGAGGGGATGGATAGAACGGAGATGGACGGTGGGATGGCGAAGGGACGAAAGAGAAGACTCGATTACACGTCACCGGCAGCCCAGAGCCTATTTGGTCGCAATCGGTTTTTCATTACCGAAAGCTTCATCGGCTTTATACCGAATTGTATATTCGGCGAGCCCTCGTGAAACTCATCAAGATCGTACGTCCTTTTGGAACAGCTTTTCGCGACTTTCTGGCTGGCGCTGGACGAGTAGCTATTGTTTAATCCCGATAGAATTCGAATTCGAGACGCATCGAAATCTTCGGTACAAAAATTCGATGATCGTTCGAAGAAAAAAAAAATCTGTAGATGGAAATGTTACAATCTGCATCTCTTTTCTTTTTTTTTTTTTTCGTATCAAATATGTACATATTGTTTTGAGAAAAGTTCAAATATTATCTAATAAAAAGAAAACATTGCGAAAAATATAATAAATAAATAAAATTGAAACATATTTTAAGACTTTTATTATTAATGAATTTTATGTGTGTAGCCACTGGTATTACGTAAATAAATAAGCTCAAAATGTAAATAATGACTTAATCGAAGTTGCAAATAAATAAATAAATAAATCTCAATTTGAAATAAATAAATTGAAAATAAACCCTAGTAATTTACAAAACTGGTTTTCAATATTTGGACAAATATTTTTTGAATAAAAAAAAACAATATGTATGCTGCCATCTATTCCTGATTATACGAACTATTGTAGACTAATTGTTCAAAGAAAGCAGCAGAGATGGCAGTGAAATTATCACAACGATTGCAAGCGTAGTAAGTGACGAAATATGTAATCAGCTGATTGGTCTTTTGTTTTTTGTGTTCTACGTACTACAGAAATAAATTAGTCGTGCAAGAAACTATTTTAACATCTAATATAAATACTTGGTATCACATTGGAGAAGAAGTTATTAATACATATTTTACAGTAGCTCCTAGTAAGTGATCAAAGACATTCTCAAATTATAACCATGTTTTGAGAGAAAAACACTGGTATACGTGACAGATTGAATTTTTAAACAATAGATACAAAAATATGTCGTCCTCGCCAGAGAATGTTGCGATAAAGCAGCCTATTAGGCGCTTAGAAATTCAAATTAATAACTTCAACGTGGCTATACCACATCATGTTGATTTGTTAAAACGACACAAAAGTAACATTCAAAAAGTAAGTATTAAATTACGTTACTTATTAGATGGTAGATGTTTGCATAATTTCACTGTTATAGTATCAAGCACAACACGAGTGGGAAAAGATGCGCAGGGAACACATGAATGTATCAAGAATTATAAAACAACTTAAAGAATTATTGTATCAAATGGATAGTTTAAGAGCTCACGTTCTCGACTCTGACATTAATCAGTTCGATAAATTGACTGGGAACGCCCGTGAAAGTATCATGAATGCAATCAGAGAATATATGGGTAAAATAAAATTATGTTTTGTATCACTTACATTAGCTGAGGCGATGGTACGATGACTTGCATCTGTATGTGTTTGCAGAACTGCAACTAAATTTGCCCATGTCACAGCCAGAATCACCCATAGAAGAAAATCAACCCAAAGATCATCCACTTGACGATAAATATATCCAGCTTCAGAAAGAACAGCAGGAACTGCAGCATCAGGAAGCATGTCTGCATGCTTGGAACACCTTGCAAGGAGATATACATCAACTTCATCAGTTATTTGTTGATTTTAATAAAATTGTTGATGTAAATTTTTTAATTTATTTAGATTCATTATTTTGTGGCTGTATCATAATTTTATACCACAATCTTTTTTTTTAGGACCAGAAGGAGCTAGTCAGTATGGCAGAAGAAAATGTAGAGTTAACAAATGTAAATGTAACAGAAGGTGAAAAATTCCTTCAAAAAGCTGTTAGGTACAAAGTTGCTATGTACCCTTTAGCAGGAGCTGTAATTGGAACTTGTATCGGTGGACCGGTTGGTTTATTAGCTGGATTAAAAGTTGGTGGGCTAACTGCACTAGGTTGTGGTATTTTAGGTAAGTTGTAATATCTATAATACTGAGTGCACTGTTATAGATACATTACTCTTTGAACAGGATTTACTGGAGCATCTATATTGAAGAAAAAAGAACTAGAAATGCAAAAATCGAGATCTTCAGAGGAATACAGTTTAACTGAACAAAAGACTGTGCAGAAATCAAGGTCTCTGCCTGAAAATTTGAAAGATTCAAAAAAGGAATTGTGACACATGCCAAAATGTGATACTAATGATAAAAATAAGAAGAAAAATGCCTGCAGTGTTGTCTAAACCCAAAGCACTGATAATAATGCAACGTGTGTGTTGAACTTTATGTGTGTTTGAAATCTGCTTTTATTTCTATTCTGTACGTGAAATAAGAATTTCTAGGCTAGATATTTCCATAAAAATGAGTTGTGATTTATAACAAATTTTTTTAATTATACATAGAACGTGACAGACTTATTAAGTTATGTGTTTTTAGCATGTAAGAAAAATATTAAATTTTCTGCTGGGACCAAATTTTATTGAAAATTAGAATGGTCCTTGACAAAAGATTCTCCATCGCTTGAAAAATAAATCTTTTTATACAGTTGTACGAAATAATGACATGTGTATGAACATTACATATAGACTGTTCTCAATGATGATATTAACCAAACTCAAAATGATATTAGGTTACGTTATTACAAATATTACATCGAGAACATATACAATTGATTACTTTCTCAGTGAAATGTACTTACAATAATATAAAAATAGTGCGTAGTTTGTATTACAACAAAATCGATGTAATGGAGCACTCGCGACGTGTCTTTTATATATGCTTCTTACATATACCGTGTTCAGAAAAAATGTTACAAATGTCTGGCATGCGCGAAAACCGAGAGCCTATTCTTGCTTGTAAATAATGTTTGCAAATAAACTATTTAATACCACCAACGAACACCGAAACCGAATTTGTGATAAAGATTTGACTACGTGACCACGCGTAACGGAACGTCTCGATCTACCGCGCGTCGATCGTTTGAACTACCGTTGCGTATCGATCGATATATACTCGATACAATATGGTGCGATTTCACGCGGAAGTTTCCTTGTTTACACACATGTACGCTGGTTTGTGAAGTGAACGCATTGTGAAATGAGCAATTGCTCTTGAAATATCTACTGTATTTACATATTTGAAAGCAAGATAGATATGGGATGACGAGATGAAAATTAAAGGTTTTAACTTCGCTACAAAAGGCACCCAATACAGTATATTTAGCAAGTAATAAAATACATCGGTGTTAGACACAGTACAATACTGAAATAATCATGTTATTAATTGTAAATATATAATATATACATTTCGTTATAATGATGCGGGTACTTAAATCTACAGACTAAAATGATCTACTTAAAAAAATATTAATAAATATCTACGAGCGTGTACAATTAAGTGACTATCGGTGTATCTTAAGGTACCGTGTTATATCCCTTGTTATCGTCATTTAACTCGACATCCCAGATTCAAAAGCAACACCAAACAAAGAACTGTGGAGAAAATAGAGCATGATTTACTTTCGTCTCGCTTAGTCTCACTTTCGAAGAGCGGGATGCTCAGCCGGATGCACCGAATTCATATGGCATGCTCATGGTTACTCAACCTCGATCCATCGAACGTTCGATAAATTTCGATTCTTGAAAATGAATCACGTGTGTGTATGGATATGATACATAACTAAAAGTATGACTCGCAAACGAAAGTAAACGATACCGGGGAGAGTGCATCAGACTGTGTTCGGGACATTAATTTTTTTTCAGAACGAACTATCATCTACGGTTACGTTTTCTAAATACCTTAAATTTCTTCGATCGACCCCAGAATACGAACTTAACGAAATTTTGGTCACTGACCATAAGGTATCATTGAAAATACCTTGGCAGACCTTGGCAATAACAATGGCTTGATCGACTGACTCGCTTGGAAGCGGTGTAACAATACAGAATTATATAACGGGATAATTGCTGATTGCTACGTGGTTTTTCTTTCTTCGCTAGCTGAACGAGTGACTATAGTGGTCGGAACCGATACAGGTAATTGCGTGTTCTCGATTGAACTTTTTTGATAGAACATGACGCAGTTACAGCATGACTATTCAGTTACAGCACAACGAAATTTTATACTGCGGCGATATACGAATTCCACTTTGTGCCACAAGCATCAGTCAATGAACCATAATCGAACCTGAACAGTTGGAACGCTAAGCTTCTCGGATTGGCATGAAAAGTGCATGGAGCGTCTTCGGTAAAGCTTAACCTAAAAAGCTTTCCTAAAAACGTCCATACGGTGATTCGCGAGAAACGCTTAAAAGTAAGTTGTTTCTTCTTTTTGTAAATAGAAAAAAAAATACACACACACATAGAAAGAAAGAGAAAGAAAAAGAAAAAGAGAGATGATAGAATTTGGCTTTCGTGTACAGGCCAGAGTTAGGTTTACATCTACAGGTGATAAAAGGTTTTACAAATGACTGACATAAAAAGAATATAATATTATATATATTTAATATATAATCTGGAAATAATATTTAGACTATCGATTATATTACTTGCGGCTATATCGTATAAACCTTTAATATTACATTATATTACAAAGTGGTATGTATGTGTGCGCATTGTTTTGACATTCCTGAAGGGATGCGTTCAGCTGTGGTCGAAAACGCATTCGACAAGGAAATCAACAATGATCTGGGCAGCTAATGGAATACCTGAAGAGAAGATGAAACGAGAACCAGCCTCCAGGTGTTTCATTAAAAAGAAAAAGTAAAGAAAGAAAAAGAAAAAAAAAACCATAATCTTCGCATTCTCGATCTGCGACGTTACTTAACATTTCGTAGTAAGCGCGAACACAACGTGGACATGGAATATCGATATTTATTCACTACGTATATATAAATAAAGTTTAAAAGTACCATAGACGAACGGTTGGTAAATTCAAAATAATATTCTCAGTCGCTGATTGATCAGGAATGCCAATGTTAATGAGAGTTAATGGCAACCGGTGCATGCTGTTTACGATACTGCAGCACAATGTGAAGCATGCAGCCATACACATATAGATTCTGTCGGAACACATCTGTATCTGTGATCGTTCTCTTGAGCACGTTGGTGGATTCGAGGAGATAGTATAAGAAAATACACGTCGCCGTTACTTCTGAAAAATCAATGGTTTATAAAATTCAGACGTGACAACTATATATGCGATCGCCTAGATTTAATGAAATTCGAAGCGTATCAAAAGATAAATTCACTTGAAAGTTGAGCTCTTTGTCCGGGACATAAGGTGTGTCGTGAGTGTTTCGTGTGTATCTGCGTATGTGTATGTGTGCCTCTTTGCGAACTCGGCCACACAGAACAGAATTCGCTTGAAATATTTTGCAATGAACGCTCGTTACGGAACTCACGTGATAAGCGTAATGCAGCGATCTATTGGACTGTTTGTTTACAGTGTTGTTACATGTCGTCTCATAGTTCGCGGTCATTCATCGAACTACGATTGCCCAAGAAAAATACGCGCTCTAGTACTCTCTATTCAGTTACACGTATGTACGTACGTGGTAGTTGCCACTTTCCAATGAAAAACTTTATGTAATTCGAGTGAGTCACACGGTATTCACTATAAGACAACTTGCAAGTGAATCGACAACACGTATATATATATATAATATATACTCTTTTATATCAGAGCCGTGCCGGCCTTTTCAGGGGTGGCACTTATAAATTAATGGACATGTCTTGGTCGTAAGGAGTGAGATTCGTGTCGGACGAAGAAGCCGAGGTAACTGTTGCTGTCGCGGTTGCGCTGGTCGGTGATTGAAGAGGCGTCGATGTCGTTGGTAGATGGGACGTTGGACTTTCCAGAGTCGAGTTCCAGTGACTTCTCTCAGTTCCATCGCCACCATCATCCGAGACGATCGAGATATCGGCTATTATGCCGCTTTCTGCAATTCCATCGATATAACAATAATACAGACACGAATCATATGGAAATGCAAACAAAACATACGCGTAAAACACAATTATACACGTACCAACACTGCACTGACTGTTGAGCGTGGTACTACGATGATGAGGTCGAGGACTTGTATCCAAGCCGAGATTCAGCGTTGTCGGAGGGCCGCTACTTCCACCGCTACTCGATGACGAACTCACGGAAATTACACTGTGCGGCCTCCTGCTACAGCGTCCCGAGTCCTCTGACATTGATACTGCTATCGAGTTTCTAAATCTAGGTGCTGCTTCATGGCAAGCAATGAAATTAGTAACTTTATAGGTCAGACTCTCGTTTAAAATCATATCGTTGAAAATAATCGATCGTACACTTACTTTTCGAGAGTTGAGCTACACTGATAGAACGATCATTGATCTGATCCGCGCTAGGCCTAATGTCCAAACAAGGTTTATTTCCGATGCCCATACTCGACATCTCCGCCAGGCGCACTTCTATCGTCAGAAAAGGCGATATTCTCGTTATGTCGACCAGCCGGCAAACACGACTGCAGAAAGCTATATTTCAAAACGCGGCATACCTCTGTTTCGCAGCGCCTGCTTCCATAAAAGGTTGCTCAGTTCCTCCGTCCAGGCTTTCTTAATGTCCTCGCTTGCACACTGCAACGTGTACGTGTCGCCTGGCTTCCTCTTGCGGAACCAAATCTCGAACTTCGTAGGTGAGTCTGCGATCACGGCGGTCAACCCGATGTCCGTCGTTTTGATGCTGTGCTTGTAAATGTAGATATCGAGATTCTGAAGAAAGCAAACGACGCGTCGTTTATGTACAACGAGGCAGCTCAATGAGAAAACTACATACACAAAAAAACGGATGAAGTAGCTGCCTCACCTTCCTATCGGGGAATCTCCTCGCTTTGCTGAATAGGATAAGATCTTCGAACAGGAAAACTTGTCGCAGGCACTTCTTCCCTTTACCCTGCCATACCAAAAATTCGTTTTGACGAAGCAGCCTACCCTGTTCCTTCACGTTCACCTACAATTTACACAAATCTTATCGTCTATAGAATCCCGTCACTATGACAAAGAACGCATTACATACACTTTCCATTGCCACTGTTGACACGACTGTCTCTTCTACTACATCATTATTAGTTAGTTTACGATACTCGCGTCGCTAGAATAGTATTTTATTTTAAATACGTGGACGTACGTCGCAATCTCGAAGGGAGTCCATCGCCAGCAGGTCGTTTCCGTGACGTAGTTGGAATCGTACCATCTGCTCGGCCGCCCTCAAGTCCGCCTCCCCCTCGACCATCGGCTTCATGCCATCGTCCTTCTCGTCCTTTTCGTCTTTGCCGGACATTTGTTCCGAGAGATCGGTGCCCGCCTTCACCAGTTGCTGCAGCAACAACGCGTACTTTCCCATTCGTTGAACCGGCTTCAGTAGATAGCTGGCGAGGTCCATCTTGTCACCGAGCTCGAGCTGTTTCTGCTTGAAGAACGCGGTGCCATACTCGGCCATCAGGGAATCCGAGTTCGGTTTGTTCTTGTTGTACAGCGCATAAAGGTAGAATTTCTTTTCCTGAACGTAAATATGCAGCGAAAGTGGCGGTCAGAAGAAGATGAGTTTAAGAGAAGAATCTAAGATAAAAGACTTGGAAAAAGAGAGAGAGAGAGAAAAAAAATGTGGGACTCACGTGTCTGAGGAAGCATTGTCCCACATTCATCGGCGACTGCTCGCACTGTTCCAGTTCCCGTAGGAAATGCTGACTGTGAAACTCGTATATCTTCTCGACGTTACCAAAGATCACGTTGCGCTGTCCTCTGAGTGCCTGAGGAATATCCTCCCGCACCAGCTCCGGGATATAATTCTTTGATAAGAAACAATGATTTGCGTTAAAAACGCGCAAGATCGGCGAAATTCAATACGACGCATAAGCCAGACGATACGAAGCGAAGCCAAACGTTACCTCTATTATGTACTCGAGGGACTTCACGTAGTCTCGTTCAGTCTGTATCATTTCCCTCATTATAAGCAGTATTGTTCTGCAAGGTGAAATTCCTCGTTAACCACGTTGCCGCGCACATAACAATTCCGCATAATCGCACGATAGAATTATTATAGATAAGCATTGTTAGCAAAGCTGAGCCGAGGAACACGGAAGAGGAATCGAAAACGTAACGTGAAATTCTCCTCTCATCTCTCACGCGGCATCTCAAACTCAGGCTTTATGTTCCTGGTGAAAAGTTCTTTAGCAGATTGTTAATCAGCCTTTGTAGTAACAACCATGCTAATTATACGAAACTGACGAGATAGTAAAGAAAGATATTACTTCGAAATGGAACACAATTTTCATTACGTACTTTTTCGCCTTCATTCCAGGAGCAATGCTGGCTGCTCTGTGAAGGTGCGAGTTCACCGGTGGCTTGACCAGCCGTCGTGGAGCAGGGCTTCGGGGTGGCGTTCGCGGCGGAGAGCAATCGAGTAGCTGTTCGGCGCTCTCTCGAAGCTCCGCGATATTGTCCAGTACCGGGCGACCGCCGCTTCCTGCCGATCCTACGCTCTCCATGGGACAAGCGTACGACGCGCTGCTGTCGCTGTCATCCCACGAAGTTCCTGGAACAATAGCCGCACATTGCGATAGAAACAGTTCCAAGCAACGGGGTAAGTGAGAATGAATCTTGAAATATTTTCAGCTTGTACTCCTTTCGGCTTTATCTCGACCTGCAATTTTCATATCGTGTTCGACGCGTTAAACGAGGACGAGGTTATATAAATTATACATGGATATTCATACGTGTAATTAGTTTTTATCAATTTCAAGCCTTAAAACACCGCGAGTATACCGCGAATGACAGATCATTTTGAATTATCTAAATGAGAATATTCTGCGTCTAACAAAAACAACTCTATGTAGACCGTTGTGTACAATAGCAAGCAGTACGCGAGTATGATAGATGATAAAGACCAAACAAAATGAAACAATTTTATGTAGACCGTTGTGTACAATAGCAAGCAGTATGCGAGTATGATAGATGATAAAGACCAGGAGGTTCACGTACTCTTCGTCAAACTGTCCTCCCAAGAGGTGGCAGACTCCGACGCTGCGAAGGATCTCCTTCTGGCAGGGCTGCCAGGTGCGGAAGTGGTCCTCGCCATCTCGAGCGCCTCCGCGCACTTGTTCCTAGCGATGCGGCATTGTTCCAGAAGGATCTCGTTACCGAGCTTCTCGGCGAGCGCCATCATTTCCGTAAAATGCTCGGGAGGCAAGGGTGGCCTGGCCATGAGGAACTGCTGGGCTCCCCGTTCGCCAGCGAGGCGAGCCTCCTGGGCCCACTCGTACGCCCGGTCTTGAAGCAGGCAACATCTCGACGTGTCTTCGAGATACTCGCGCCTGTCCTCTAGTCGGGAACCGAATCCTCGAAGGTGATGCTTCAAGGATCTCGCGAGTTCACGAAGTCCGCTCGCACTCGCCGCCTCGGCAAGGTCGCTCCCCTTGTCAAGATGTCTCTGCAACACAACGTCAGAATTCCATGATACGTCACTGTTATTCGCCAATTGTCGTGTAAAGAAAGTCGGCAGCGCAATAAAATTCACATTAAAGTACACGAAAATAAAACAGACACAAAGGATCCTCAGACCTTCTAGGACCTGCGAAATCCCTAGAAAAAATGAAGATTATAAATGACACTTGCAAGTAAAGACGAGAATCAATTGGATTTCATGCGAGCTATCGAACGAACTGCAGCGCTTTTGAACAAACGTCAAATTGTACAAGTGTATAATTGTATAATTGTATACATATATTCTTTACAGTCGGTAATCAATTCGGAAATGATTTAGTAATTTTTTTAAGTATTTCTTTGCTCGTTGAATTTATAAAGGTTAGAGTTACACATGGATTATATTAAAAGTAATCATATACACCAAGTGTATTCTACATATATGCGTTAAACGGCATATACACTACACGACTATGAGAAGATTGATTACTATAAAACAAAGAGATGAAGCAAACAGTCACATGATCCACGCTGTTTGTGGGTTTCTCTCGGATGTAATGCCCCCAGAACTGTGTTTGTTCAGATTTGCCATGAATACAATATCGCGTGTGTAAACAGACGAAAGTATTTCATCGGTCTGGTCGTAACGAAAGGGAACAATAAAGACCCTACTTCTTCGGTGGAAACGATATCCTGTTCTGGGCGAATCGAACTGGAACTCCCGCGGTGTACTAGGGAACCATGCCTAATGGCGGGACTATAAATCGACATATGGGGAAAGGAACGCAGCGATGAGCGAGGGAGCTCGTGCTCTTCGCAACAGGACATTGTCTATTTGTGCACGGAGGCGAATGGGAGACTGTTTACACAAAACATCCTGCGCTTCATCTGTAGGGTATCGTCCATCTATGGCGAGCCATTCGATCGTGAGAAACGACTCAACGAATAACTCGAAATCTATAACAGACAACGCCAGTTTAAAATTGAAAAATCCAAAGACGTTCACATTTTATAAATTTACAACTTTGATTTTGTACGAGAAACAAATCTGGTTCGAGTTGTCGATTTTCAATAGGTGCATGCATCTCGCTGGGACAACTACCGGTATCCCTTTCCACGCCTGTAATATGTAGCGGCAACCGTGGAAGCGTGAAATCCCTTCGGACATGGATCGGTAACATCCTGGAACAAGGACGATCTCGATGGAGTGGCCGTGACGAAAATGCATCAAGCCTCACGGTACACGAAACGGATCAGATACGGTCAGATTATAAACTAGATAGATGGCTTGTGCAACCGTTCGGCTTGTAATATAAATTCACACCTGCGATCTTGTCGATCCAATACATATATATCTTCGAGTTCGTTCAGCCATAAATGCCCTAATTTCCTAAACGAATGGATACTTTGTGCTTGTTCGTGATTTGGATTACCCAACGAACTCCAATCTACGGGATGTGTAGGGTTCGCCAGGCCAATTTCGCAAAGTTTCGGAAAGCTGGAGGGATCGCCGGAGCTAAAGGATATTTAGAAAATTGAATCCGAGCGTCGTGAAATTGTTCCGTTCCCGTTGGTAGGAACACGCTTGATCAAAGTTTCTACGTTTCGCGCTTTACGGTCGGCTGAAAGCGATCGTTGCCACTGAAGGACTCTGAAGCTAGGGGAAGAGATACTTTGTCCCCGCCTCTTGTATTCCCTCTTTCTTCTTGGACACGTGGCCAAATCCCTTAGGGTCTTTAAGCCATCGGGAATGCTTCTCTCTGCTGTTGGAACAGAGGTCCGCGACACGTGCAGCGGTGCACGTTAACGAAGGATATGTTGAGGATATCGTTGAAGTTTCGTTTGCAGTTAACGAACATCGTTAACAGACGCTGGTATAAAATTACCCGTTTCAACGATATCGATACAACGGGTGAACGTATAATTTGTTACGTATCGGTAAAAAGTAAAAATTCAGCGATCGCGTGTCAGATTAATTAATAACCGTATTCGGGAATTTCTACGAAAATCCGCAAAGATTGCAAGTATGCCTGACGAAACATTATTTGCTCGCAAAACAATCGAATCACGAGTCAATTATGTAAGCGAGCATTATTCTACGAGCTCAATGTGACTACGTAACGATTCAAAGTTTGATAACACTTCGAAGTGCATTCATATTAGAATTCTTTATTCTTTATTCTGTTGGGAATTTTGTCTAGTTACGTTATTTCAATAGGCCCACAAGTTATGTCCATACGGAATGATTCTTATATAACTACTGGTATAGATAATCCATAGCGAAGAATAAATTTTAAATCATCATTCGTCGTACGTAAAGCTTCGATATGTGATCAGTCGTTAATCAAAGTTAATGCCACTTCGCGTAATCAGAACGCTTGACAAAGTTTCACTTAGGATATTGAACTTTTTGCGTACCGCTCGACCGGTTACGAATGGCTTGGACGGTGCATGAAATATTACCAAGGGAGGCTGGCAAGATCTCTTCGTCGCGTTTAATCAACAGAATCATCCCGATGCGGGGCGTGTTCCCTCGCGGCTCAGTCTGTCATTTTTTTAGGCTGATCGTTGACTCGGATTCGAAATGGAGTAGAAATTTGCCCGCATCCTTGCGCAATCAAGTGGCCCGCATTCGGCGATACGAAAGCGCGCGGAGTACGCGCACGATCGAGAATATTATCGAACGTCCCCGTTATAGAAATCATTTCGCGTTAGCATGGTGTAAGAAACGCCGTGAAAGTAAGGTATGCGCGTGCATACCTTACTTCGCCGCATTTCCATATTCATAAGCGTGTTACGGGCCTGTATTGGTCTATTAACGTTTAATTAATCTATTGAAGACACGATAACTTGCTGCTCGAATTGTCTCGATCCTCTCGATAACGTAGAATTTCTCCAACTCCGAAATGAATCTATTAGCAGGATTGTTGAAATTTTATTCTTGCGACGCAACAGCGTATTTAGGATACATTTTTATTGACTGCAATTGTTGAATGAAAGACAGCTTTAGTAGTTCTGACGAAACTCTACCCGAGATTCTTACAGTTTTCATCAAAGACTTTTACAGTCTATGATTCGAAAGATTGTAAGAGTCTATTATTTTGCTATACTGCTTCTAGCGAATCCGCTAAGATAAAAGCTAATTAATAAAAATCGAATAGCATTAGCTACCAGTATCGTAATAATTACCCTCAACGAAGGAAATCACCGTGCAGACGTAACACGGGCGCACAAGATTTCGCAATTGATACGCATTAACTTTCTCGTTCCCAGTTGTTTCTACTCCCACAGTAAAAGGAGCATAATCGAATATTATCATTAGCCACGGTTCTTGCTCGCCGCGCAAAGCTCACAGTTCTGTCCATTGAACAAACATATATCTACCGCATTATGTAACGAAACGGCAACGGTCCATCGTCTGGACGCGTATTTGGAACAGGCTGATGCACGGCGGCCTGCAATTACGAGCCCGTCCATCGATCGTCATCGGTGGATCGTGACGCGACAAATATCCACGATGTCCGTTGCGCAACGTATCGGTGGACGCAACAGGAAAATCTCTCGGTGAACACCGGTTCGCGGCTGGTTATTATGGCGGAATATAGAAAGGCGCCTCTCGCCGTGCATAATTGCCGGAGCGTGAAAGCAGATTAGCTAAAAACGTGACCGGCCGCGTGCGCAGGAGAGCGGTGGCGATCGAAACGGTGAACCGTGCTCGCCCATTAATCGATACGTAATCGATGATTAACGCGATAAATCGTCAATTAACGCGGCCCGTTCTGGTGTACACACGACGACTCTCCTCTGCGAGAGAAGCAGGACGATGTCTCTGCAATAGGATTATACTTTCTAATCGGATTGCTAGATATTCCCGTGCGTGTGTTCGAATGTTAGTTTCGCGGTCTGTAATGAGATTCGATTGAGAACGCGCGATTGGGATTTACAGTAGCGCGTCCACGCGAAACGTTTTACGCGAGAAGAATACGCCGTTTGTTCTCGACAGAGAAATTGCATCTACGGTCGTTTATATCCTGAGGTTTAATATCGCTGGGTAATTGCTCCAAGTGTTCGAACATGGATCTTCATTCGTTGAGTTTTTCATTTTTCCATCACGCGAATCGAATGCTTATTGGCACGAAGAGTAGATTTCTGCAGAATTTTCAATTACCGCGAGGAATATGTAAATATCTGAAACAACGTTAGAGTAAGATAACCGAAGCACGTAGCGACTTCCGTAATTCCAGAATTACCGCATCGATGCATGCGTTTATGGAAACAATATGATTACGAAGAGGCTGGTTCAGAAAGCAGGCTATTTACATAACTTGTAGAGAAGGCTTTTAGCAATCGAAAGATCGATGTTTTGTACCTACACTGGGAAGTCATAACTTTCAGCGATCTCGACTACAGCGAGATAGCGAACCACCGTATATAAATTATTTCCTTCATAAGAACGATGCATCAGGAGGTACACAAATCTTCCGTCGACTTTCAAACGCTATCAAACGCTCCTAATCGTCGCGTTCTAGACACGGTCCGTTCATCATCGACGTGCGTTGGACACGTTTCCGCGTTTACTGACTTTCTTGCACCGCCGGGACAGAGTCGTTCTACCGGTAGCCGCGTGGCTTTTCAGATTGCCAACAAACGAACCGGACGTTTTACCGCGCGGAGAGATGCGCGTCATCTCAGGTCTGGTTCCAAACGGTTTTCCTAGTTGAACAGACCCGTTGGATCACGAAAAACGAGCTTCCATCGGCGCATGATACCAAAGGCGCCACTGCGACCGGGGTTGTTGACCATCGTGGAATTTCATGCAAGAAAGTGCCACTTACCGGTCCCGCGAAAGCCGCCTGCGATCGGAATTTCGAGTCGACGAAGCTGCAACCTCTTCGTTCGTTTGCACCTTTTTCAGCCGTGAGTGTTTGTCAAACGCGAATTATTTCAGTGCGGGCGTTTCATCATTTTGTGCTTTTATTTCTTCGACCGTGAATGGAAAATTTTCTA